GTATTTGGAGAAGTTAGTCCTAACGAGAGTATTTCTGTGTCGTTCATTCAAAGCTCGAAAATTATAGGTCAGCACGTAACTAAAAAAGAGGACAGAAAGATATTGATATTTACCCATATTCATAGAAGATAGTGGGAGAAGAGTAAGGACAAAAGCAGCAGGAATTGATTGACTGAGTCAAAAAAATATGAGCAAGATCTTCAGTAAGCTAGGAGGAAAATAACCGGTTGGATTGGACAAGTAAAAATCTACTGAGGTGCGCTAAGCCAGTGAATCATGGATGCTATGGTTTGCTTCAAGCTCAATGCAGCTCTTGAAACACAATGGGGTGATTACAAATGACTGCGAAACGGTTTGATGCACAAAAACCGCACATGACTTATAGGCTGGAGAAATGGCGAGAAACAAATGTGAAAAACACATGACGGCATGGTCCCGATAACGAGAGTAGCAGCGATACACTTGGATCGCGAACCGGCATTGATTTCTCGCTAAAAGTGATAACGAGACGGTTGGTGTAAATATCCGCACAATCACATGTCTAAACTAATGGTGCAATTATTTGAAGAGAATAGGGAAACGAAAAAGCAAAACTGGTATCACAAAAACTCCGCAATATAGTGAAAAAGATACTGATAAAACTCACAAATAATGATTGATATTTGTTCCAAATCTTCATAAAGAGAATGGCGGGAAGTTGGCAGGATGTGACACAAGCTCGTTGATGTTAAACCGTATCATCTGCAAGTAATGCGACATGATATTCGGGTCAATAATATGATGGTCAGCTAGGTATGTGATCAACTAGGAAATGACGATGCAAAAAAGATAACAACCCTATATTATAGCTTTAAAAATAAAGAAAAGTCTGGAACTGGAGCAGGAAAAATTATCTCTAGTAAGACGAATCAAAATGAACATGAAGTCGATATGCGTATTTCATTTGAACTACATGACGACGATTATTAAAAAGCGAATGTGTGTAATAGCTAACCGTGAAACCACCATCGTGTTTTACTAGGGTTCTTGTTACAAGTTCGTACATACAGTGCATTGTCTGGCGGTCGCTTCTGAAAGATTAACGGAAATGGCAACCACGCAAACCTCGAACGTAAAAATCAAAATAGTTACTGTCGGTACCTTTTCTCGAGCAGAAGATAACATAGAGAGAATCGAAAGGCACACGGCTTGCACACTCAAGGCTGGAGTCCAATCTTCAGAAAGAATTGACAGGCAGATGTGACCGTTGGAATAGACGTGCGGATGTACAGGTATATTTTCACCAACAAACATAACCTGAGGTGGAAGAAACTCAGTTGCACTCCTTAATGAAACACCTTGTTCACCCACCTCTGGAGAGTTGAAAGGATACTGTTGAGAAAAGCGGAACTGCAACGAAAACTTCTCCCCTTCATAAAGAGTACCTGCTGCGCCTATCACGTCCACTCGCCATTGTCTGAAATGACAAGTCAACCTGCGTAACACGCAAAAACTAAATACATTTCAATTTACTAATCAAAAAGTGCGCAGTCATTCAAATAAAGTGATTCTATAAAGAGAGATAGTTCAGCAGCGCGCACGCCTGTAGGATGAAATCCACTTTCGGATTTTATCTCAAATTAGATGACGTAAATGAAAAAACGTGGGCGACAAATAGCAAACAAATAAGCTTTTCTCAAACACAAAGCAGACCATCAGTAATTCATCACCATACGTAAATAGAAAAGACCCTCAATTCAATGCGCTCGCATCTCCTTTTTAAATAGTTGGTGTGATCAGAAGCTTACGCATTTTTCAGCTACTTCTATTCTTTTGTGTACTCTAATTGCGCAAAAACATC